TATTGGTTATAAGTGGATTCATAGAATGAAATTAAAAATGTATATATTGTAATTTAATTTAATTTATTAAGATAAACCAAATTATATAGTAATAAATTTGATGTTAAATGGGGATTGGGTGAATTTTTTATATTTTGAAGTGAATGAATGACTGATCTAAATGCAGAATGTCATAAGAATGATTAAAATGTAATAGGTTTCATGTCTTTAAATAAGAGTTATATAGTAATTATAAATAATGATAATTAAAAATATATTTAATTGGTTGGGAAGACTAATATAAAGCTAATTATTGATTAATTGATCGAAGAAAGGAATTTAGAAATTTATACATGAACGCTTTTACAATGGATTTATAAAATTTAATGGAAAATAGATTTAAATTCATGGGAATTTAAAGAAAATAGAATGATTTGATGTATTCTTAAATTATTGATTGAATAGATGTTTGTGATAAAATATAAAAATTTTGGAACATAATGTATTTATTTTCAATCAATTATAATTAAGTATTTATTAAATATAGATAAGATTTAACAATATGTTTATATAAATATATGAGTTTTGATGATTTTGGATGGTAATATAAATAAAATGATAAACAACATAAAGTAATATAAAATTGTATGTGAATATTGATAATTACACTATTATTATAAATTATTTAAGAATTAATTATTTGTCAAAATTGGATATAAATTTTATATAAGAATGTGTATTAAAATATATGTATGATTCATATATATTTTAATTTAAAATTTGTATGGATTTTATATTATTGAAGTTTAGAAGAATGCAAATAAGAAAAATTGTTGTATGTTGCATTTATCTAAATGAATTAATATGTTAGATAATTGATGCTATTTGTTTATATATATATTATATTTATATCATTGAATATCGAGAATTTGAATAGAAATGTTAATATGATATTTTAATTTGTGATGTTTTAAATTGCAGATTATTTTGATGAGTTGATAATCAATATAACTGAATGATTTAAATTTTATTATAATGTGTTGAAAAGTTATCATTTAATATGAGAATGAAATAATAAATTTTCGATATTAATAAGGTGAATGTTATATCTACTACTTAATTAGAAAATATTACAAATTATTAGATTATTGGATATAATAAAATATAAAAATAATTCTAATGAGATATTTTTGTTGAGTGGAAATTAATTGGAAATATAAATAAATAAAATTAATGAACGTTAAATTATTTTAATAATGAAATTAAAATGATTTAAAATGTGATTTTTTTTAAGTAATTAGAATAATGGTTTTGTTGAAGAATTATAAATTTATGAAGATAAATATGTATGCGTTATTCAATTATTATATTAAAGAGATTATTAGTATTGGAATGGATTCATTTATAGAACATAGATCATATTGAATATTTTACTGATATGGTCAATTTGCATTATGGTGTCCTGTGATGGTGTCTTCCTCTGATGGTGTCCTCTGATGGTGTCTCTCCTCCTGATGGGTCCTCTGATGGTGTCTGTACTTGATGGTGTCTCTCCTCTGATGGTGTTGTTTTTAAAATTATAAATAATAAATAATTTAGATTTGTAAGTAAAGTGGGATGGGAATGAAAGTGAAAATTATTCAAAATGTAATTTATGGATATAACGATTATATGAAAAAAATAAAATGTGAATAAATTTCAATTATTAGACGTAAATATTAAATTGAAATGTAATGGAGTTTAATGATAAATATTATAATATAAATATAGATATTTATATATTTAAATATTAGAATCTGTAAAAAGATAATTTTCATTAATAAAAATGTTAATATGTGCTTAATTAGATTTGGAGTTTAACGCAGATTTATGAAAATTAGATATTATATCGAATGGATGGATTAAATTTTTTGAATGATTGATAATTATTTTAGCATAAACTGATGATATATTTTATGATATTCTATTTTGATATAGATTGAATTATTCGTGAAGGATGTATGTTGAATTGAAATATGATGAATATGATAGAAATTATAGAAAATTACGAATATCTATTATTTAAATATTTTTTTCAATATATTAAATAAATGTAGAAGAAATTTATAATATGTATTAATACATTGATAGAGAGTAAAAAAAATATCTTTTTCATGATTTGCTATCATAAGTTATTATCAATTGTTGACTTATAATATATGATATTTATTTATAATAAAAAATAATATAAATTGTTGTGTTGATGCGTGATTTTGAATTAAGAGAATAATTATGGGATTAAATTTAAATTTGTAATAGATAATTTTACGAGATATTGTATTGAATTAGAGAAATACTATATGGTTATGAAGATTATGGGGCCGTCTAGTTTTTATTAGAAGTAATAATGTTTATTTTTGAATAAAGTTTGTATTTTTTAGTTCTTTATTGAAGACCTGAGGAAAACTGATTAATGGTGCAATATCTCTTAAAATATTGATTTATAATGAATGTTGAATTCAGTAGAGATTTTTGCTTTATTGGTTCTAATAATATGAGGACACTTAATATGAATGTCTGATAATGTGTTTTGAATTTAAAGATATTAAAGACTAAAAATATAATATTGTTTTAAAGTAATGGATATTTATATTACTTATTATTAAATATAAGAGCTTAATTGTAAAATTGGAAATGGATACCTGACTAATGATTATAAAATATATTTTAAAATATTATGATATATATAAATTAAAATTTAAAATTTAATCAGTGTAAGATGTATTCTATGTTAATAATAAATTTATCAAACTTTATAAAATCATGTTAGATATATTTATATATGAAAAAGATTTTTAATTTGTGGGATACTATTGACGAAATCATTGTTTTTTTTATATTGGTAAGAATAGACAAAAATTAGGAGATTAGGTATATTTTGTAAATTTAAATGTGAATAATTGGCATTGGAAAGATTCTGGAGTGTATCCTCTTTATTGTATTCGTATATTAGTTCTTGCGAATTAGATTTTTATAATGTTAAATATTGAATATAAATAGAGAATGGAAATTGTTTAGAATTGGTTTATAAAAATTTAGAAATAATTAATATTAATTTTTATGTGAATATCCTGGATTTATTAAAAATTTTAAATATTATAACTTTTTTATGATATTAATCTTGGAATTGGATGTTTTGGAATTTATGGTGCATAGAATTGATGGGAATGATTTTGGATGATAATTGATGATTAAGGCTTGCGTTTATTGGAGATGACTAGTGAAATAATATGACTGATTTGTAAAATTAGAAAGATATTTGGTTTAGATGTGAATGATTTAATATATATTATGACAGTATGTTCTTTTGATAAATGTTTATGTTAATAACGGTAGATTAAATAAAGAAATGTACTTTTTTATATTTATTGCGAAACATGTCTGAGAAAAATATGGTATTTTTTGAATGATTGTGGATTATTTAAATAATTATATTATTAATAGAAAGGTATTATAATTTAAATGTTATGATATATGAAAAAATGATACTAAAATAATTTGATGAAAAATATGGATTTTATATTATTTGTGAAATAATTTAAAATGTAGTAAATTACTAATATATTTGATTAAGAGAAAATGATGGTCTAGAATTAAGTAGTTATTTGTGGGGTCTTCTATGGTGCATACATGTAGGAAAAATGAATAGTTAATTTAAATAATTGATAACTAAGATTGAGAAATTATTTATTATACAATTAAGAAATGGTGATATTTATTAGTTAATTGCTAGAAAAAAATTTATTTGTATTAGGAAGTATTATTATTTTGTAAATTATTATTTTGAAATTTTAACATAAAATAAATATGTATGAATTAGAAATTAATCATTATATGATGTATAATTTAAATTGAAAAAAGAAAAACATATTCTTTAATTTAAGTTGCTATATGATATATATTATGGAATATATATTGTTATAAAATTGCGTATTTGGTTAAGTATTTTAAATTTTTTGAGATAAGATGCTATGATAGATTCAAAGAATTACTGTTCATATATTAAATGGATGTTATTATTATAAATATAATATTTTTATTTAAAAAATTGGAATGTGTTGATCATATGTTAGATTTGGATTTAGAATTAAGTTAATATTGGTAATATGTTATTAATTATAATATTTATGTATTGAGACTTTGTGATTTTGAGAATTTTTTACGGTGTATAGATAATAATTGGATAAAAGGAGATATTAGATGTTTTTGAAATTGTTGTTCTTGTCATAAAAGAATAAAATAATTGGTTGATTTAAAAATACTAAAAAAATTATTTAAAATTAATGTAATTGCTTGATTTAATGGTACAAAATGATAATATTTATACGATTTTTTTCTATATCTGATGTAAGATTTAAATTTAAAATTAATTGACTATGAAACTATATAAATGCTTATGTTGGATATGCTGATCGTAATTCGCTGTTTTTGTAAAAAATAAATATATGGAAATGTGTTGTGATAATTAGATTATGATATGGATAGTTGACATATGTGTTTATGGGGATGAATAACAGACTTGCAATAGATGCGGATAGAATAAAAAAATGAATCGGAAATTTTTTTTTAACATAGTTAATATTTAATATTGGGAAATATATATGGAAAAACAGAATATTGATTGATGTATATTTAATTAGGATAATAAGACAATATTACTTTGTGATGGTCATTCATGAAGATAAGAAATTCATTAATCTTGATCTTAATATTATTTTGCATTATTTTGTATAATATTTTATTATTTACATTTTAAATGATGGATTAATACTTGTTTGGATAATTATATATTGTAAAATATTTATGAATAATGTGTTGAACAAAATGATGGAATAATAAGCTTAACTGTAGGATAGTGAATGATTATGAATATAAGGAACTGAATAAATAGATGCTTCTCAAAAAAACATTTTTGTGATGGAGAATAATTAATATTGATTTGTTTGATTTAAATTTCTGTGTCCTCTGATGTTTATTAATTATTATTTTAAAGTGTCTCTCCTCTGATGGTGTCCTCTGATGGTGTCTCTCCTCTGATGCTCTATATTCCTCTGATGGTGTCTCTCCTCTGATGTCCTCTGATGGTGTCCTCTGATGTGTCCTCTGATGGTGTCCTCTGATGGTGTCCTCCTCTGATGGTGTCCTCCTCTGATGGTGTCCTCTGATGGTGTCTCTCCTCTGATGGTGTCCTCTGATGGTGTCTGTCCTCTGATGGTGTCCTCTCTCCACTGATGGTGTCCTCCTCTGATGGTGTCTCTCCTCTGATGGTGTCTCTCCTCTGATGGTGTCCTCTGATGGTCTGTCCTCTGATGGTGTCTCTCCTCTGATGGGTGTCCTCTGATGGTGTCCCATCTGATGGTGTCCTGTCCTCTGATGGTGTCCTCTGATGGTGTCTCTCCTCTGATGGTGTCCTCCTGATGGTCTCTCCTCTGATGGTCTCTCCTCTGATGGTGTCCTCTGATGGTGTCTCTCTCTGATGGTGTCCTCTGATGGTGTCCTCTCCTCTGATGGTGTCTCTCCCTCTGATGGTGTCCTCTGATGGTGTCTCTCCTCTGATGGTGTCTCTCCTCTGATGGTGTCTCTCTCTGATGGTGTCCTCTGATGGTGTCTCTCCTCTGATGGTGTCCTCTGAGGGTGTCTCTCCTCTGATGGTGTCCTCTGATGGTGTTCTCTGATGGTGTCCTCTGATGGGTGTCTCTCTGATGGTGTCTCTCTCTGATGGTGTCCTCTGATGGTGTCTCTCCTCTTGATGGTGTCCTCTGATGTGTCTCTCCTCTGATGGTGTCTCTCTCTGATGGTCTCTCCTCTGATGGTGTCCTCTGATGGTGTCTCTCCTCTGATGGTGTCTCTCCTCTGATGGTGTCCTCTGATGGTGTCCTCTGATGGTGTCCTCTGATGGTGTCTGTCCTCTGATGGTGTCCTCTGATGGTGTCTCTCCTCTGATGGTGTCTCTCCCTCTGATGGTGTCCTGTGATGGTGTCTCTCCTCTGATGGTGTCCTCTGATGGTGTCTCTCCCTCTGATGGTGTCCTCTGATGGTGTCTGTCCTCTGATGGTGTCTCTCCTCTGATGGTGTCCTCTGATGGGGTGTCTCTCCTCTGATGTGTCTCTCCTCTGATGGTGTCCTCTGATGGTGTTCTCTGATGGTGTCCTCCTCTGATGGTGTCTCTCCTCTGATGGTGTCTCTCCTCTGATGGTGTCCTCTGATGGTGTCTCTCCTCTGATGGTGTCCTCTGATGGTGTCTCTCCTCTGATGGTGTCTCTCCTCTGATGGTGTCTCTCCTCTCTGAGGTGTGTCTCTCCTCTGATGGTGTCTCTCCTCTGATGGTGTCTCTCCTCTGAGGGTGTCTCTCCTCTGATGGTGTCTCTCCTCTGATGGTGTCTCCTCTGATGGTGTCCTCCTCTGATGGTGTCTCTCCTCTGATGGTGTCCTCTGATGGTGTCTCTCCTCTGATGGTGTCCTCTGATGGTGTCCTCTGATGGTGTCCTCTGAGGGTGTCCTCTGAGGGTGTCTCTCCTCTGATGGTGTCCTCTGATGGTGTCCTCTGATGGTGTCTCTCCTCTGATGGTGTCCTCTTGATGGTGTCCCTCCTCTGAGGGTGTCTGTCCTCTGATGGTGTCTCTCCTCTGATGGTGTCCTCTGATGGTGTCTCTCCTCTGATGGTGTCCTCTGATGGTGTCTCTCCTCTGATGGTGTCCTCTGAGGGTGTCTCTCCTCTGATGGTGTCCTCTGATGGTGTCTCTCCTCTGATGGTGTCTCTCCTCTGATGGTGTCCTCTGATGGTGTCTGTCCTCTGATGGTGTCTCTCCTCTGATGGTGTCCTCTGATGGTGTCCTCTGATGGTGTCTCTCCTCTGATGGTGTCTCTCCTCTGATGGTGTCCTCTGATGATGTCTGTCCTCTGATGGTGTCCTCTGATGGTGTCTCTCCTCTGATGGTGTCCTCTGATGGTGTCCTCTGATGGTGTCCTCTGATGGTGTCTCTCCTCTGATGGTGTCCTCTGATGGTGTCTCTCCTCTGATGGTGTCTCTCCTCTGATGGTGTCCTCTGATGGTGTCCTCTGATGGTGTCTGTCCTCTGATGGTGTCTGTCCTCTGATGGTGTCCTCTGATGGTGTCTCTCCTCTGATGGTGTCTCTCCTCTGATGGTGTCCTGTGATGGCGTCCTCTGATGGTGTCCTCTGATGGTGTCTCTCCTCTGATGGTGTCCTCTGATGGTGTCTCTCCTCTGATGGTGTCCTCTGATGTTGTCCTCTGATGGTGTCTGTCCTCTGATGGTGTCTCTCCTCTGATGGTGTCTCTCCTCTGATGGTGTCTGTCCTCTGATGGTGTCTCTCCTCTGATGGTGTCTCTCCTCTGATGGTGTCTCTCCTCTGATGGTGTCTCTCCTCTGATGGTGTCCTCTGATGGTGTCTCTCCTCTGATGGTGTCTCTCCTCTGATGGTGTCCTCTGATGGTGTGTTTGCAGGTACCAGATAGTGGTGGAGATCATCCATGCCACTACCATCAGCAGTTTGCCTCAGCTCAAGAAGCAGAAAGGTAGGACCACAACCATATGTATGTAGAGCTGGACCATGTAGAGTTGGACAATGTAGAGCTGGACCATGTAGAGTTGGACAATGTAGAGCTGGCCCCTGGTCTCTCTCTCTGGTCTCTCTCTCTGGTCTCTCTCTCTGGTCTCTCTCTCTGCCTCTTTAGTCCAGTGACAGTAGCTCTCTGTGGTACAGACCTGACAGTAGCTCTCTGGGGGACAGACCTGACAGTAGCTCTCTGGGGGACAGACCTGACAGTAGCTCTCTGGGGTACAGACCTAACAGTAGCTCTCTGGGGTACAGACCTGACAGTAGTTCTCTGGGGGACAGACCTGACAGTAGCTCTCTGGGGTACAGACCTAACAGTAGCTCTCTGGGGGACAGACCTGACAGTAGCTCTCTGGGGGACAGACCTGACAGTAGCTCTCTGGGGTACAGACCTAACAGTAGCTCTCTGGGGGACAGACCTGACAGTAGTTCTCTGGGGGACAGACCTGACAGTAGCTCTCTGGGGTACAGACCTAACAGTAGCTCTCTGGGGGACAGACCTGACAGTAGCTCTCTGGGGGACAGACCTGACAGTAGCTCTCTGGGGTACAGACCTAACAGTAGCTCTCTGGGGTACAGACCTAACAGTAGCTCTCTGGGGGACAGACCTGACAGTAGCTCTCTGGGGGACAGACCTAACAGTAGCTCTCTGGGGGACAGACCTGACAGTAGCTCTCTGGGGGACAGACCTAACAGTAGCTCTCTGGGGGACAGACCTGACAGTAGCTCTCTGGGGGACAGACCTGACAGTAGCTCTCTGGGGGACAGACCTGACAGTAGCTCTCTGGGGGACAGACCTGACAGTAGCTCTCTGGGGGACAAACCTGACAGTAGCTCTCTGGGGGACAGACCTGACAGTAGCTCTCTGGGGGACAGACCTGACAGTAGCTCTCTGGGGGACAGACCTGACAGTAACTCTCTGGGGGACAGACCTGACAGTAGCTCTCTGGGGGACAGACCTGACAGTAGCTCTCTGGGGTACAGACCTGACAGTAGCTCTCTGGGGGACAGACCTGACAGTAGCTCTCTGGGGGACAGACCTGACAGTAGCTCTCTGGGGGACAGACCTGACAGTAGCTCTCGGGGGGACAGACCTGACAGTAGCTCTCTGGGGGACAGACCTGACAGTAGCTCTCTGGGGGACAGCTCTGACAGTAGCTCTCTGGGGTACAGCTCTGACAGTAGCTCTCTGGGGGACAGACATTACAGTAGCTCTCTGTGGTACAGCTCTGACAGTAGCTCTCTGTGGTACAGCTCTGACAGTAGCTCTCTCTTTCTCAGATCGAAAAGGAAAAGAGTTGGCGGCGATGAAGGGCGATCTGCTGCGAGCGCGAGACATGAAGCGCTACATAAACCAGCTCACAGTCGCTAAGAAGCAGTGCGAGAAACGCATCCGCCTGATGGGAGGACCCAACTACCATACCAGCGAGGAGGGGGAGGAGGGGGAGGAGCCACAGAACCAGAGGGTGAGAGAGGAGGGGGAGGACCCAACTACCATACCAGCGAGGAGGGGGAGGAGGGGGAGGAGCCACAGAACCAGAGGGTGAGAGAGGAGGGGGGGGAGGAGCGACCAGGGGTGAGAGAGGAGGGAGGACCCAACTACCATACCAGCGAGGAGGGGGAGGAGGGGGAGGAGCCACAGAACCAGAGGGTGAGAGAGGAGGGGGAGGACCCAACTACCATACCAGCGAGGAGGGGGAGGAGGGGGAGGAGCCACAGAACCAGAGGGTGAGAGAGGAGGGGGAGGAGCCAAGAACCAGAGGGTGAGAGAGGAGGGGGAGGACCCAACTACCATACCAGCGAGGAGGGGGAGGAGGGGGAGGAGCCACAGAACCAGAGGGTGAGAGAGGAGGGGGAGGACCCAACTACCATACCAGCGAGGAGGGGAGGAGGGGAGGAGCCACAGAACCAGAGGGTGAGAGAGGAGGGGGAGGAGCCACAGAACCAGAGGGTGAGAGAGGAGGGGGAGGACCCAACTACCATACCAGCGAGGAGGGGGAGGAGGGGGAGGAGCCACAGAACCAGAGGGTGAGAGAGGAGGGGGAGGACCCAACTACCATACCAGCGAGGAGGGGGAGGAGCCACAGAACCAGAGGGTGAGAGAGGAGGGGGAGGACCCAACTACCATACCAGCGAGGAGGGGGAGGAGGGGGAGGAGCCACAGAACCAGAGGGTGAGAGAGGAGGGGGAGGACCCAACTACCATACCAGCGAGGAGGGGGAGGAGGGGGAGGAGCCACAGAACCAGAGGGTGAGAGAGGAGGGGGAGGAGCCACAGAACCAGAGGGTGAGAGAGGAGGGGGAGGACCCAACTACCATACCAGCGAGGAGGGGGAGGAGGGGGAGGAGCCACAGAACCAGAGGGTGAGAGAGGAGGGGGAGGACCCACAGAACCAGAGGGTGAGAGAGGAGGGGGAGGACCCAACTACCATACCAGCGAGGAGGGGGAGGAGCCACAGAACCAGAGGGTGAGAGAGGAGGGGGAGGAGCCAACTACCATACCAGCGAGGAGGGGGAGGAGCCACAGAACCAGAGGGTGAGAGAGGAGGGGGAGGAGCCAACTACCATACCAGCGAGGAGGGGGAGGAGGGGGAGGAGCCACAGAACCAGAGGGTGAGAGAGGAGGGGGAGGAGCCAACTACCATACCAGCGAGGAGGGGGAGGAGGGGGAGGAGCCACAGAACCAGAGGGTGAGAGAGGAGGGGGAGGAGCCACAGAACCAGAGGGTGAGAGAGGAGGGGGAGGACCCAACTACCATACCGGCGAGGAGGGGGAGGAGGGGGAGGAGCCACAGAACCAGAGGGTGAGAGAGGAGGGGGAGGAGCCATAGAACCAGAGGGTGAGAGAGGAGGGGGAGGACCCAACTACCATACCAGCGAGGAGGGGGAGGAGCCACAGAACCAGAGGGTGAGAGAGGAGGGGGAGGACCCAACTACCATACCAGCGAGGAGGGGGAGGAGGGGGAGGAGCCACAGAACCAGAGGGTGAGAGAGGGAGGGGGAGGAGCCAACTACCATACCAGCGAGGAGGGGGAGGAGGGGGAGGAGCCACAGAACCAGAGGGTGAGAGAGGAGGGGGAGGAGCCACAGAACCAGAGGGTGAGAGAGGAGGGGGAGGACCCAACTACCATACCGGCGAGGAGGGGGAGGAGGGGGAGGAGCCACAGAACCAGAGGGTGAGAGAGGAGGGGGAGGAGCCATAGAACCAGAGGGTGAGAGAGGAGGGGGAGGACCCAACTACCATACCAGCGAGGAGGGGGAGGAGCCACAGAACCAGAGGGTGAGAGAGGAGGGGGAGGACCCAACTACCATACCAGCGAGGAGGGGGAGGAGGGGGAGGAGCCACAGAACCAGAGGGTGAGAGAGGAGGGGGAGGACCCAACTACCATACCAGCGAGGAGGGGGAGGAGGGGGAGGAGCCACAGAACCAGAGGGTGAGAGAGGAGGGGGAGGAGCCACAGAACCAGAGGGTGAGAGAGGAGGGGGAGGACCCAACTACCATACCAGCGAGGAGGGGGAGGAGGGGGAGGAGCCACAGAACCAGAGGGTGAGAGAGGAGGGGGAGGACCCACAGAACCAGAGGGTGAGAGAGGAGGGGGAGGACCCAACTACCATACCAGCGAGGAGGGGGAGGAGCCACAGAACCAGAGGGTGAGAGAGGAGGGGGAGGAGCCAACTACCATACCAGCGAGGAGGGGGAGGAGCCACAGAACCAGAGGGTGAGAGAGGAGGGGGAGGAGCCAACTACCATACCAGCGAGGAGGGGGAGGAGGGGGAGGAGCCACAGAACCAGAGGAGGAGGGGGAGGAGCCAACTACCATACCAGCGAGGAGGGGGAGGAGGGGGAGGAGCCACAGAACCAGAGGGTGAGAGAGGAGGGGGAGGAGCCACAGAACCAGAGGGTGAGAGAGGAGGGGGAGGACCCAACTACCATACCGGCGAGGAGGGGGAGGAGCCACAGAACCAGAGGGTGAGAGAGGAGGGGGAGGAGCCACAGAACCAGAGGGTGAGAGAGGAGGGGGAGGAGCCACAGAACCAGAGGGTGAGAGAGGAGGGGGAGGAGGGGGAGGAGGGGGAGGACCCAACTACCATACCAGCGAGGAGGGGGAGGAGCCACAGAACCAGAGGGTGAGAGAGGAGGGGGAGGAGCCACAGAACCAGAGGGTGAGAGAGGGGGAGGAGCCACAGAACCATACCAGCGAGGAGGGGGAGGAGGGGGAGGAGCCACAGAACCAGAGGGTGAGAGGAGGGGGAGGAGCCACAGAACCAGAGGGTGAGAGAGGAGGGGGAGGACCCAACTACCATACCAGCGAGGAGGGGGAGGAGGGGGAGGAGCCACAGAACCAGAGGGTGAGAGAGGAGGGGGAGGAGCCAACTACCATACCAGCGAGGAGGGGGAGGAGCCACAGAACCAGAGGGTCAGAGAGGAGGGGGAGGAGCCACAGAACCAGAGGGTGAGAGAGGAGGGGGAGGAGCCACAGAACCAGAGGGTGAGGGAGGAGGGGGAGGAGCCACAGAACCAGAGGGTGAGAGAGGAGGGGGAGGAGCCACAGAACCAGAGGGTGAGAGAGGAGGGGGAGGAGCCACAGAACCAGAGGGTGAGAGAGGAGGAGGGGGAGGACCCACAGAACCAGAGGGTGAGAGAGGAGGGGGAGGACCCACAGAACCAGAGGGTGAGAGAGGAGGGGGAGGAGCCACAGAACCAGAGGGTGAGAGAGGAGGGGGAGGAGCCACAGAACCAGAGGGTGAGAGAGGAGGGGGAGGAGCCACAGAACCAGAGGGTGAGAGAGGAGGGGGAGGACCCACAGAACCAGAGGGGAGGGGTGAGAGGAGGAGGGAGGAGCCACAGAACCAGAGGGTGAGAGAGGAGGGGGAGGAGCCACAGAACCAGAGGGTGAGAGAGGAGAGGGATGAGCCACAGAACCAGAGGGTGAGGGAGGAGGGGGAGGAGCCACAGAACCAGAGGGTGAGAGAGGAGGGGGAGGAGCCATGGGCCTGAACTAAGGCCTCACCTGTGAGATGTATGAGAAGTTATTATTAGAAAGGATAAGCAGAGTTTTTGAGGATATTTGTAAAGAATTTTGGTTTATTGTTGCAGATTGAACGTATTATCAGCGGAGGAGAAAAGCACCAACACCTAGGCCATTCGCAAGCACTCCAGCGACAAAAAGAAGAAAAGTGGTGGACTCCGCAAATACTGATCTCGACGCAGCAAACATCTTGTTGGATCTCAGTATGATCTCACCTCTAGATGTTACTGACACAGAAGAAAATAAAGTAAGTGTACAAAGATATGTTTTGATGTAGTGTAAATCTGATTGTCATATACTTCAATAAGTGATATTAAACTATTTAGATCTTTGAGTATGTGCTCTATCAAACAACACATTGTGGGTATTAAGAAAGTGGCCTCTTGAAACAGCTTCATTTTTAATAACATCAGAAAAAGGTGGAGCCAAACCATCTTTGAAAATTTCAATTATCACAAATTTGAGGGCCATCCAGAAAACAAAAAATGATTTTTATACACAAAACATTTTAAGCTAATTCCTGATCTAGTCCACTTAAATTCTAATTTATCAGGTATATTTGTAGCCCTATAAATCTGTACCAGTATTAATGTACATGTATCTTTTGTTTTTTCGGTCAGGCTAACTCTGTAGGGATTCAAACAGAAGCTCTGGAACCCTGCTCCAAATGTTCAAAGTTGATGGTGGATGTTGGCTGTCAGACTGTATATGACCGATACATGTTGCAGTCCAAGATTGAAAACATCATACTGAAGAATGAAGCAACTGTATCGAAATCCAGGCCTTCTTCTCTTGATGTGCCTCCGAGTGATCAGAAACCTGAATATGAGGCCCTCCTGACTTTAGATGATGTTAAAGATGATGCCAGAAAAATGAAGTTCTTTACTGGACTTTCGTTTTTACACTTCATGGCCTTATTCAACTTCCTCGGCCCGCGGTAAATAACCTTACTTACTGGAACAGTACTGGGAAAAGTGAGCAGAGTTCAACTAAGAAGAGGAGAAAGACAAAACCAATCGAGGAACTATTTATGACTGTTGTTAGACTACGTCGTGGCTATTGCTTTTATACAATGTCATTCTTATTCAAATTATCGGAGTCCTCACTAAGGTCAATATTTACTACATGGCTCCAATTATTGTACTGCCACTTTAAAGAGGTAAAACTGTTCCCAGATAGATCTGTCCTCAAGAAATTTATGCCTAAATCATTCAAAGGGTTCAAAAATATTCGGTGCTCTGTGGACTGTACAGAATTCTTCGTACAAATGCCTCGTAACTTTTCTCAGCAAGGAAACTTATTCTCGAATTATAAGCACCATCACACATTTAAGTGTTTGATAGCTGTTGCGCCTAATGGCACTGGTGTGTTCGTCTCAGATCTTTACGAGGGTGCTATAAGTGACAGAGACATATTTGAACAAAGTGGCATATTGGAGCATTTACATCCCGGTGATCTTTTATTAGTTGACAGAGGCTTTACTGTGAAAGACTTACTCATGTCAAGACGGGTCAAGATGAACATTCCTCCATTTTTGAAAGGTCGGGATAAGCTCACACCCCAAGAAGAGCTTCTGACAAGAAAAATAGCAAAGGCACGTATCCATGTAGAGCGATATAACGAACGTATTAAGAAATTTAAACTGATCTCTGGCACGATTCCCTTGTCTCTAACTCCACTAGCAAGTCAGGCTGTCTTTGTTGCTTGTTGTCTTGTTAACTTTCAAGATCAGTTGGCAAAGTAAATAAAAGAAGACATGTTAAAGCTTTATTGAAGTTGTAAAATGTTCTACTAATTCTGCACATTTAATCCAAAATCTATCAATATTTAGAGGGGTCATCTCAATATTACTTTGATGCTTAAAGGCAATCATATTTCCAACAAGTGACCCCATTCAATTTCATTCTGAAATATACACTTGAACTTTGAAAATGTAAAAAGTTATTTTCTATAAACATTTACTTGGATTTATTATTTCATTTTTGTTTACATATAGGGGTAATTTATAACCTATATCCACAGAGAGAATGAAGGTTCATTGCAAAGAGAACAGTTGTGCACTATTGCCTTCATTGTATGTACAGTGAAAGCAATAAAGAAAGATAATAGAAAATATTCTAAGTTTTGAGGTTATGAGTAGATTAACATAGAATTGATATCTTGGGAATTTTTGATCAAAATGTATTTTACATAAAACTAATGAAATGCATACACATGAAATGATCTTTTAAACATTTTAATTCAAAAGTTAATAGTTTAAAATCATCATGAATAACAATGAAATACTGTACCCATAAATAACTGATAATTTCTGAAGCAAACATTTGTATAGCATCAAAATGTCGCCATTGTCTTAAGTAAATATAATCAAAGTTAAAGTTTTAACAATAAGAGGTAAATGCTGAGCAGGCACTTCTGCTGTAAAAAATGTTTGGTGAAAGGTCTATTACAGTAAACTTGTCAAAAGAAAACTACATTCAATGTCAATACTGTGTTGATATTTTATTTGGGAAGAATGAATGGTATTAGATTACGAGGGGCCCTCATTTCAACCAACTCTGGCATGACAACACAGCTCCACAACTTATAGTTTGAGTTAATAATGTCAGCAATGAAATTTGAATCGGAGTAGATTCTCTCAATGGAAGGATCTCCTTTCACTGACCACAGGACAAAGTCACACCACTCAAGGCCTGTGACACCAAGCTGATACTGAACTTGGTAATAATAGGGATGAGAACGACGCAAAACAAGTTTATTGTCACTAATCGTGAAACAGGTGGCTTGGATGTCCTTGCTGGTCATTTCTCCAGAGTTGTACTGATCAACACATTCCTGAGGAGATTTCTTCTGAAGAAGCCCTAAAATTTTGATTTCAGAAAGACCAAAACTATTTGTGGAGGGATCATATGATAAGCCATCAGGGCTACAAGCCAGTTGTGGAAGCCTGTGAGAAACAAACAGTCCGGTCTTCTCACAAGAGAAGTCAGGAACAGTCTTTTTTTTAAACAGCACATAACTGTCCCTTGCTCTGTCCTCGTTTTTGATTCCTTCATTCATATGTTTTGTGGTGATTCTGTCGAGGCCCCACACATTTTTCCGGATGTAGTGTAGCAGTCTCAACTTCACCGCAGCACTCATTTTTTGTTCACAGTTTGCTATGACCTCCCAAATCTTGTGAGCCTCTTTACACGTGGAAGCTGTCATTCTGAGGTATCTTTCTGAATACCAAACATCTGAGGATGACTGCTCAACTGTCCCTGGAATCATCGAACTGATGCATTGCACACTGCACTTAGGTAGTAAGTTGGCTTCATACACACTACGTAAGCTGGTGATGACATCCCTGTGGCTCTCTGGCAAATCATAGTCCTCATAATGGTATACAAGGACTGTTTCCCACATACTAATAACACCACTTCCACTGTTTGCTCCCTGTAACTCCGTCAAGAAGGCATTGACATCCTCATTTTTGACATGACTGCCATCTGGACGCGGATCGAAAGATTTTACTTTAGTTGGAGGGAGTTTACCATACGATTTTGCATTGATGCTACCAGGATTTTTTCGTTTCCGACCCCGTTTCCACTCACATGGTAGGTCTGTACAAGCCGGTGTTCTCCCAACATCAGTGTCAACAACTTTTGTCAGGAAAAGCAGAAGGGCAGCCACGTGACTACACCGCCCTAGGGCTGATGCTTTACATTTACACGTTGCACTTAAAACTGCACCACTCACTGACGACATCTCAACTGATACATCATGGTGTTCATTTTTCATAGATGCATCAACTTTTGCTTTGTATACTATAGAATTATGAGTCTGCCTTACTTTGATATCCTGAACAAAGTTTGAGTCAACATACTGCCAGCCACGGCGCAGAGATTTTTCAGTGACAACTGAAGTTATGTCATCCTCCTCATCACTGTCTTCTGTCTGAGAAGGCCTTGTGGGAAGAGTGGGCAGAGATTCCACCAGCCAGTGATACACGTAGCCATAGTTGTACAGTGGTGGGATGTTTGATGGTAGGAACTCCTTCCAATCATTAGATTCGAGAGCAGTTTGTGGACTCTCAGTATGGGTATCTGCTAATTTCTGGTACCATTTCCCTTTGTCAACTGATACGTCAATGTCTCCTGCTTTCTCTGATGCAATGCAATCTTTACATCTGAAAAATACATAAAATGACACAAGTTCAATTAAGAGACTTATGTAGGCCTACAGACACTAGTCCTGTACTACGCCCTAGACATTATTTTGAATGAATCTCTCTCTATCTCATATATATATATATATATATATATATATATATATATATATATATATATATAAAATATTTTACTTGTAGGTGCTACTACTGCCTTGAATCACATGTATTTATCATAAAAGTCATATGAGGCCTACTTTCTTAAAATACTCTTATTTAAATATGTAAGACATGTTCTGCCTTTTTCTAGCAAGCCTGTTCATGCTACAGGTAGGCCCTAGATCTGACAGATTTACTTTTTCTGTAGTAAGGAAACAGCCTTGGGGGGAGGGTAAAATTGAGAGAATTTAGATTTGATATTAATTAAAAATTAAGTGTTGTTGGTTGTGACCAAGTAGCATTAGCGATCGCTAAACAAAAAATAAATACATGAATAATAATAATATAAATTACCCACAACAACTGTCAGACGTAAGACAACCAGAGGACATAGTATATATGACAGACAGGACATAGGGTGGTAAAAGATAGCTTGTTGAAACTGCAAAAAGTCACTGTCAGTGGCGTAAGGCGATGTTTTTTGGGGGAGAAATTATGTCGATAACAATCTACCTCTGGATCAGGTCGGCTCTTTTTCCCGTCTTTTTCAGCCCTCTACACTCAAGCCATCTCTTCAATTGAATATTTGTATGTTCTTCTACTTCTATACCAGTGAATTTGGCACCGGGGACATCATTCTCGGACAGAGTTAGCAGGTTTAGCTCAGTAGACATCTCGTCCGTAAACTGTTTACATGCGTCTAGCATGAGTGACACGCGCGAGTTTGACCCCCCTAGCAACCGTCGCTAGCTTAATGAATATTAATGAGAAGAGGTGACGTATATCGTGCGGTACGCTATTAGTGTTGGGCTAGTTAGCTAACTCTACTTGATATCATAAAACATGCTAACAAGGCTAATATTCGTTTTTACATTATGCCAGTCTCACTTTGCCTTAGATTTATTTACCACAATGTACATTGTAATATCCATAAATGTTAACACCTATTAACAGTTTAATTAGCATTTTTATCAATGATTGCATCACATGTAGTCTATGTTTTCAACTTCTGCAGCTTTTTGTTCATAAAAGTAAAATATTTATTTAATTCAAGTTATTTTGATTAGCATTTATGGATATTACAATGTACATTGTGGTAAATAAATAATCTATGAATGAATAATAATTCATCTGAACATGTCAAAATGAACACCTGAAATATTATAAACACATATTAAATTCTAGTACTACTTTAAAGATTTAGTTAGCGATTCTGTTAGCTTAGCCCAAGTCCTGGCGATCCAAGATGGCGGCGTATTCAAATGAATGGTTTGTACTCGGTGGCACATGTGCCGGCACGGTAGATGAAAGACAGAGTTTCTCATAGATCTTTGAGAGTTTCCCATAGATCTTTGAGAGTTTCTCATAGATCTTTGAGAGTTTCAGGCGACTTCCGCTAATCTTTCAGCCCCCATGCCGTCACAAAGCGCCACTCAGCACAACCATTCATTTGAATAGGGCGCCATCTTGGATCGCCGGGGCTTGCACTTACCCCTTAGCCACTTCGGCCTTAGCCCCTAGCCCTTAGCCACTTAGCATGTCTTCCTCCTCAGATGACCACATCTCTGTTGTTAATAAACAGGAAATGGTCTCATGCTGCTCCTCACCACCAGGCCCCTCTCTCTCCCCCTCCTCCCCCCTCCTCACCACCAGGCCCCTCTCTCTCCCCCTCCTCCCCCCTCCTCACCCCCAGGCCCCTCTCTCTCCCCCTCCTCCCCCTCCTCACCCCCAGGCCCCTCTCTCTCCCCCTCCTCCCCCCTCCTCACCCCCAGGCCCCTCTCTCTGCCCTCCTCCCCCCCTCCTCACCCCCAGGCCCCTCTCTCTGCCCCTCCTCACCCCTCCTCAGCCCCAGGCCCCTCTCTCTGCCCCTCCTCCCCCCTCCTCACCCCCAGGCCCCTCTCTCTGCCCCTCCTCCCCCCTCCTCACCCCCAGGCCCCTCTCTCTGCCCCTCCTCCCCCCTCCTCATCCCCAGGCCCCTCTCTCTCCCCCTCCTCCTCCCTCTCCCCCCCTCCTCACCCCCAGGGCCCTCTCTCTGCCCCTCCTCACCCCTCTCCCCCCCTCCTCACCCCCAGGCCCCTCTCTCTCCCCCCTCCTCCCCCTCTCCCCCCCCTCCTCATCCCCAGGCCCCTCTCTCTCCCCCTCCTCCCCCCTCTCCCCCCCTCCTCAGCCCCAGGCCCCTCTCTCTGCCCCTCCTCCCCCCTCCTCACCCCCAGGCCCCTCTCTCTCCCCCTCCTCCTCCCTCTCCCCCCCTCCTCACCCCCAGGCCCCTCTCTCTGCCCCTCCTCCCCCCTCCTCACCACCAGGCCCCTCTCTCTCCCCCTCCTCCCCCCTCTCCCCCCCTCCTCAGCCCCAGGCCCCTCTCTCTGCCCCTCCTCACCCCCAGGCCCCTCTCTCTGCCCCTCCTCACCCCTCTCCCCCCCTCCTCACCCCCAGGCCCCTCTCTCTCCCCCTCCTCCCCCCTCTCCCCCCCTCCTCATCCCCAGGCCCCTCTCTCTGCCCCTCCTCCCCCCTCCTCACCACCAGGCCCCTCTCTCTCCCCCTCCTCCCCCCTCTCCCCCCCTCCTCAGCCCCAGGCCCCTCTCTCTGCCCCTCCTCACCCCCCAGGGCTCTCTCTCTCCCCCTCCTCCCCCCTCTCCCCCCCTCCTCACCCCCAGGCCCTCTTTCTGCCCCTCCTCCCCCCTCCTCACCCCCAGGGCTCTCTCTCTCCCCCTCCTCCCCCCTCTCCCCCCCTCCTCACCCCCAGGTCCCTCTCTCTGCCCCTCCTCACCCCCAGGCCCCTCTCTCTGCCTCTCCTCCCCCCTCCTCACCCCCAGGCCCCTCTCTCTGCCCCTCCTCACCCCTCTCCCCCCTCCTCATCCCAGGCCCCTCTCTCTGCCCCTCCTCACCCCCAGGCCCCTCTCTCTGCCTCTCCTCCCCCCTCCTCACCCCCAGGCCCCTCTCTCTGCCTCTCCTCCCCCCTCCTCCCCCCTCCTCACCCCCAGGCCCCTCTCTCTGCCTCTCCTCCCCCCTCCTCACCCCCAGGCCCCTCTCTCTGCCTCTCCTCCCCCCTCCTCCCCCCTCCTCACCCCCAGGCCCCTCTCTCTGCCTCTCCTCCCCCCTCCTCCCCCCTCCTCACCCCCAGGCCCCTCTCTCTGCCTCTCCTCCCCCCTCCTCACCCCCAGGGCTCCCTCTCTCTGCCCCTCCTCCCCCCTCCTCACCCCCAGGCCCCTCTCTCTGCCTCTCCTCCCCCCTCCTCACCCCCAGGTCCCTCTCTCTGCCCCTCCTCACCCCCAGGCCCCTCTCTCTCCCCCTCCTCCCCCCTCCTCACCCCCAGGCCCCTCTCTCCCCCCCCCCTCCCCCCTCAGCCCCCGTGTCTCTGGTCTTGAAATAGTCCTGGTTTATTTCAGTCTCAGGAACTGGACTCATGTAACTGCAGCTTTATTTACAAACCAGGGACTACAGGGACACAGGTACACAGGTACAGAGGGACACAGGTACACAGATACACAGGTACAGAGGGACACAGGTACACAGATACACAGGTACACAGATACACAGGTACAGAGGGACACAGGTACACAGGTACAGAGGGACACAGGTACACAGATACACAGGTACACAGATACACAGGTACACAGATACACAGGTACAGAGGGACACAGGTACACAGGTACACAGATACACAGGTACAGAGGGACACAGGTACACAGATACACAGGTACACAGGGACACAGGTACACAGATACACAGGTACAGAGGGACACAGGTACAGAGGGACTACAGGTACACAGGTACAGAGGGACACAGGTACACAGATACACAGGTACAGAAGGACACAGGTACACAGATACACAGGTACAGAGGGACACAGATACACAGGTACAGAGGGACTACAGGTACACAGATACACAGGTACAGAGGGACTACAGGTACACAGGTACAGAGGGACACAGGTACACAGATACACAGGTACAGAAGGACACAGGTACACAGATACACAGGTACAGAGGGACACAGATACACAGGTACAGAGGGACTACAGGTACACAGATACACAGGTACAGAGGGACACAGATACACAGGTACAGAGGGACACAGGTACACAGATACACAGGTACAGAGGGACACAGGTACACAGATACACAGGTACAGAGGGACACACAGGTACACAGATACACAGGTACACAGATACACAGGTACAGAGGGACACAGGTACAGAGGGACTACAGGTACACAGATACACAGGTACAGAGGGACTACAGGTACACAGATACACAGGTACAGAGAGACACAGGTACACAGATACACAGGTACAGAGGGACACAGGTACAGAGGGACTACAGGTACACAGATACACAGGTACAGAGGGACTACAGATACACAGGTACAGAAGGACACAGGTACACAGATACACTGGTACAGAGGGGCACAGGTACACAGATACACAGGTACAGAGGGGCACAGGTACACAGATACACAGGTACAGAGGGACACAGGTACACAGATACACACGTACAGAGGGACACAGGTACACAGATACATAGGGACACAGGTACAGATGTACAGAGAGACATAGGTACACAGGGACACAGGTACAGATGTACAGAGAGACATAGGTACACAGGGACACAGGTACAGAGGGGCACAGGTACAGAGGGACACAGGTACACAGATACACAGGTACAGAGGGGCACAGGTACACAGATACACAGGTACAGAGGGACACAGGTACACAGATACACAGGTACAGAGGGACACAGGTACACAGATACACAGGTACAGAGGGACTACAGGTACACAGATACACAGGTACAGAGGGACACAGATACACAGGTACAGAGGGACACAGGTACACAGATACACAGGTACAGAGGGACACAGGTACACAGATACACAGGTACAGAGGGACACAGGTACACAGATACACAGGTACAGAGGGACTACAGGTACACAGGTACAGAGGGACTACAGGTACACAGATACACAGGTACAGAGGGGCACAGGTACACAGATACACAGGTACAGAGGGGCACAGGTACACAGATACACAGGTACAGAGGGACACAGGTACAGAGGGACTACAGGTACACAGATACACAGGTACAGAGGGACTACAGGTACACAGATACACAGGTACAGAAGGACACAGGTACACAGATACACAGGTACAGAGGGGCACAGGTACACAGATACACAGGTACAGAGGGGCACAGGTACACAGATACACAGGTACAGAGGGGCACAGGTACACAGATACACAGGTACAGAGGGACACAGGTACACAGATACACAGGTACAGAGGGACACAGGTACACAGATACACAGATACATAGGGACACAGGTACAGATGTACAGAGAGACATAGGTACACAGGGACACAGGTACACAGATACACAGGTACAGAGGGGCACAGGTACACAGATACACAGGTACAGAGGGACACAGGTACAGAGGGACACAGGTACAGAGGGACACAGGTACACAGATACATAGGGACACAGGTACACAGATACACTGGGACACAGGTACACAGATACACAGGTACAGAGGGACACAGATACACAGGTACAGAGGGGCACAGGTACACAGATACACAGATACACTGGGACAGAGGTACACAGATACACTGGGACAGAGGTACACAGATACACTAGGACACAGGTACACAGATACACTGGGACACAGGTACACAGGTACAGAGGGACACAGGTACACAGGTACAGAGGGACACAGATACATAGGGACACAGATACACAGGCACAGAGGGACACAGAGACACAGGTACAGATGTACAGAGAGACATAGGTACACAGGTACAGATGTACAGAGAGACATAGGTACACAGGGACACAGGTACAGAGAGACATAGGTACACAGGTACAGAGAGACATAGGTACACAGAGACACAGGTACACCGATACACTGGGACACAGGTACACAGATACACAGATACACTGGGACACAGATACACAGGTACAGAGGGACACAGGTACACAGATACACAGATACACAGGTACAGAGGGACACAGATACACAGGTACAGAGGGACACAGGTACACAGATACATAGGGACACAGATACACAGGCACAGAGGGACACAGATACACAGGTACAGATGTACAGAGAGACATAGGTACACAGGGACACAGGTACAGAGAGACATAGGTACACAGGGACAGAGGTACAGAGAGACATAGGTACACAGGGACACAGGTACAGAGAGACATAGGTACACAGAGACACAGGTACAGAGAGACACAGGTACAGACGAGACGGACACAGGTACAGAGGGACACAGATACACAGATACACAGGGACACAGGTACAGAGGGGCACAGGTACACAGATACACAGGTACAGAGGGACACAGGTACACAGATACACAGGTACACAGGTACAGAGGGACACAGGTACACAGATACACAGGTACAGAGGGGCACAGGTACACAGATACACAGGTACAGAGGGACACAGATACACAGGGACACAGGTACACAGATACACTGGGACACAGGTACACAGATACACAGGTACAGAGGGACACAGATACACAGGGACACAGGTACACCGATACACTGGGACACAGGTACACAGATACACAGGTACAGAGGGACACAGGTACACAGATACACAGGTACAGAGGGACACACAGATACACAGGTACACAGATACACAGGTACAGAGGGACACAGGTACAGAGGGACTACAGGTACACAGATACACAGGTACAGAGGGACTACAGGTACACAGATACACAGGTACAGAGAGACACAGGTACACAGATACACAGGTACAGAGGGACACAGGTACACAGATACACAGGTACAGAGGGACTACAGGTACACAGATACACAGGTACAGAGGGACTACAGATACACAGGTACAGAAGGACACAGGTACACAGATACACTGGTACAGAGGGGCACAGGTACACAGATACACAGGTACAGAGGGGCACAGGTACACAGATACACAGGTACAGAGGGACACAGGTACACAGATACACAGGTACAGAGGGACTACAGGTACACAGATACACAGGTACAGAGGGACACAGATACACAGGTACAGAGGGACACAGGTACACAGATACACAGGTACAGAGGGACACAGGTACACAGATACACAGGTACAGAGGGACACAGGTACACAGATACACAGGTACAGAGGGACTACAGGTACACAGATACACAGGTACAGAGGGACTACAGGTACACAGATACACAGGTACAGAGGGGCACAGGTACACAGATACACAGGTACAGAGGGGCACAGGTACACAGATACACAGGTACAGAGGGACACAGGTACAGAGGGACTACAGGTACACAGATACACAGGTACAGAGGGACTACAGGTACACAGATACACAGGTACAGAAGGACACAGGTACACAGATACACAGGTACAGAGGGGCACAGGTACACAGATACACAGGTACAGAGGGGCACAGGTACACAGATACACAGGTACAGAGGGGCACAGGTACACAGATACACAGGTACAGAGGGACACAGGTACACAGATACACAGATACATAGGGACACAGGTACAGATGTACAGAGAGACATAGGTACACAGGGACACAGGTACAGAGGGGCACAGGTACACAGATACACAGGTACAGAGGGGCACAGGTACACAGATACACAGGTACAGAGGGACACAGGTACAGAGGGACACAGGTACAGAGGGACACAGGTACAGAGATACATAGGGACACAGGTACACAGATACACTGGGACACAGGTACACAGATACACAGGTACAGAGGGACACAGATACACAGGTACAGAGGGGCACAGGTACACAGATACACAGATACACTGGGACAGAGGTACACAGATACACTGGGACAGAGGTACACAGATACACTAGGACACAGGTACACAGATACACTGGGACACAGGTACACAGGTACAGAGGGACACAGGTACACAGGTACACAGGTACAGAGGGACACAGATACATAGGGACACAGATACACAGGCACAGAGGGACACAGAGACACAGGTACAGATGTACAGAGAGACATAGGTACACAGGTACAGATGTACAGAGAGACATAGGTACACAGGGACACAGGTACAGAGAGACATAGGTACACAGGTACAGAGAGACATAGGTACACAGAGACACAGGTACACCGATACACTGGGACACAGGTACACAGATACACAGATACACTGGGACACAGATACACAGGTACAGAGGGACACAGGTACACAGATACACAGATACACAGGTACAGAGGGACACAGATACACAGGTACAGAGGGACACAGGTACACAGATACATAGGGACACAGATACACAGGCACAGAGGGACACAGATACACAGGTACAGATGTACAGAGAGACATAGGTACACAGGGACACAGGTACAGAGAG